GTGCCCAGGGTAATACGGTAATAGCTTATGAATATTCACAGATTATTATCTATTCAAACTTTTCTACCATTGTAATTTTCTCTTTCCAGCAACAAATAATGTCACAGCAATCCTACAACAGCAATTCATATATGCAAGGTGGTCATGTGCTAGGACCCAGATGTAATCCTCCCAGTAAGCCCCCTCAACATCATCAAATGATGCGTCCCCAGTACAAGCAATCATTTATGCAGCCAAATACACAGGTAAGTACAATGAAATGTGACAAATTGTTACAGATTTTGTAATTACTTTACTTCCCCGGTTATAAGCTAGAAGATCTCAACATGTAAATTTGGGCAAGGTAAACGGGTGGGTTTACATTCAAGGACCACCTTGAAAAAGTTGATTTTTTTTGTTTGTTTAACACTGTGGCCATGTTACCAGCCTCGAAAAATTATAATAACCAAATTACTTCTTTTTTTCACAAAAATATGCACATTATATTACAATACAATTTATATACCTAAATTTACGGTGTAAAATGATTTGGGTCTGTTGGAAAACAGTCAAATGCAAGATTTATTTATAATTATCTTCGTTGTGGGATGTTTTAGATTGTTAGCAACTCTGATTATTTGGAAAAGTACACCCATATTTTAATCAATTTGAACCGATTGTCGACGCCCAATTAAAACACCTATGATCATTAAATGTCTAAAAATAAGGGGTGGGCTTATGATTGGGGAAGTATGGTAATATTTTGCAAGCAACTTATATATAATAATAATAATAATATATGATTATTTTTGCAGTTTCAATCTTTTAAATGCCTTTTAAATACTTTTGTCACTTTTCGGAAAATAAATCTGCAATAAATGTTTTCATATTTTTCAAAAACAAAATGAAAAAGATCCAATTTTAAGCGAAGAGTTTGAGGAAAAAAACACCATAAAAATAGGAAAAATTTGGCAAAAAAAGCTTCTAATGCTCAACCAACTTATGCAGAGAGTGCATTTGTATGAGAAGATGTGTATCCCACACTTGCATCTCTTTTTTTTCAGTGCCTTCATCTTATGCCCTATATTTGTTTGTTTGTAGCCAATGTTTGCACCCAACGGCTCGATGATGATGCCACCAAATATGTTTCCTCCAAACCACTTTATGCAATGAAGAAGAACTCTGCTGCATGATGGGACACCAATTAATAATGCATCCATTACTACTGTTAAAGTGAGAGGGTCGTCACCTGCGCACGTGAGGGAATTGAGTTCCAAGCAGCGATAACAACACACGCTAAAACACAAATGCTCATGGGTAGATGCTTGTTTGTAAACAATGACATGCTATGGCCATCTGACGCATGCGCAGGTGACCCCCCCCCCCCACGCGCGCTTTAATTAGACACGTGAAGTAATCCTGAGAAATAACTAGATGCTGGTCACTTTGCGTCACTTCATTCATGTGATCGCTGGTTAATTGGTCAATTAAAATAGGCTATGTGCATTATATTGGAGCAATATTTGGTCAATGAAAAGTGCACTACTTTTCTGTAAGCAGGCACCCTCTTGTGACTTTTCTACGTCATCAAAATGATGGGTACAAGCAAGGTTATTCATAGCTAATACCGAAGATGTGGTACTACGAAAAGCTGGGTCAACAAACAACGATGGGATCAAAGATATTACTTGGTGCCGATTGAATATCAAAAATATTGCCGTGGACATCACGGTCGCCTGTATGATGAATTTGATATTGATGGCTACCCACAGAAAGGTTGTTGATGTTGTCACTAATATACTTATTTACATCAAAGAAGTATTCTGTCATAGAGGGCGCAAATTGAGATGTAACAAGGATTTCTAAGATGCGGGTAAACTAGTGTTGTGATGATGATATTATGAGAATTTAAAAAGAATCTTGCAAATAGACGATTTTCCATTCACTGTGAGATCTCGCGTATAGTGACGTCAAAGTTGTCCGCTGAACTTCTGCTACAAAAACAAAATTTAATTTTGAACTTGAATTTCAATTGATCATCAGGACATGTGTATAGCACATTATTAAGTGTGGAAATACACCAAAAATAATTTGGTGTTTGTTGACGACACTATAACACTATGACCTTTGTTTGTCCTGTTTTTACGTTTGATTTCACGCATAAAGTGGGATCTCTAAATGAACAGAAAATGGTTTCTTACAAATTGATTCCAAAATTGCACAACAATTAAACAAACATGAGTCTGTGAAAGAACTAGTTGAGTGTTCATCTCAGGACATTTTGCAATCTTTCTCATTTTTTTATGCAATCAAATCTTTCCATTTGTCCATTGATTGACCCGCATACATGTACATAATAGGATTTTCATCGCATATCATCATACTTTGGTATCAAACTAACATACATTCCTCTTATAGATCTTTGATTGTACTTCACAATTATGATATGTTTTATGTTAATCAGATTCAGATCTCGCAGGATCAGCAACCGATTTATATTTTTCAGGCTACGTTTTCTAG